GAGCCGATACTCGGGAAAAACTCCATTGGAGAAACGTGAAATTTGCAAAATATATATTTCTATGGAGATTAAAAAAAAAAGAAAAAAAAAAAAGAAAGAAATTTCGTCGAAATGCATAGAAATTCCTGTTTAAAGGGAAGTCGTATCAAACTCGTAAATACGTGAATTTCCCGAAGGCAAGGCTTTTTAATTCTATAAAAAGCTCCCTATTCTACGTGATATTCCAATAATGCGTTTCGAGCAACCGACGATAAACCAATTATCAAGATTAAGAATTTCGTGCAGGAAAGCCGTACAAGTTTCCTAAAGTGTATCATCCGATATACCTGTGTAGATTAGATCGAACAGCTGAAAGATTAAATTGTTGTACCCGAGGATGAAAAACATTTGAATCGTTTCGATGGACAAAGATCAAAAGCTCTTCGAGATCAAAGATCGTATATTTTTACACGGTATTTTACTATTCTGGATGGAAAAACTTGGTCGATCGGAAAATTGAGGCTATATTTTTTTTCTTTTTCGTTCTTAATCTTCGTGTATTCGTAAATATCTTAGCAAACAATCGCTTAACAATCGAACAGTCGATTTTGCGTTTTTTATGCGATTTTTCTTTCTCGATCGGTTCCCCTCGAGAAGAGTTAAGTCGGACGTAAATTTTGCACGAGCGTGATACGCGTACCGCGGTCGATAAATTCGAGTACACGAATTACGATCGGTAAAAGATGGAGAAACGAGTATCCGGAAGAATTTACGCACGCGCGTATATAACGTTCGCGATTTTGGGCGCGAAACAAAATTTTGATCAACGGAGATCGAAAACGGAGCAAATAAAAGTATTTCGAAGTGTTGGCGTAAATTTTGTTTCCGTCTCGTTTCGAATTTCGCGTCGAAATGAGTTCTGAGCGAAGAGAAAATGATATTTGAAAATTGATCGGGAATCTAACGGCGATATTGGAAGGAGTGAGGATTTATTAGGGGGGGAAAGGAAGGAAAGAAAGGACGCGTCTGTGCCAACAAATTAAACGCGAAAATTACCATTGGTTCGTGATTCATCGGCAAGAAGAGAAGCTACTTCCGGGTATCCGTCGCGTGTGACTCGCGTTCCGATAAGATTCTAATTAAGGAGACTTATCGGGGGTCGTCTGCCTCTACCTCCGCTCCATTTCCTATCCCCGCGCCCCCGACCCTTGGAGCGTGCCTCACTTCCGGAAAGAACACCCTGTGACTTTTTCCAACCAACGATCGGCCGTGATGCCAGATGCATCCATCTTTTAACGGGTTGCTCGACGTTCGCGCGGTTGCCTCCATCTGTCTCTCGGATAAAATCCGTTTCGCGCTGCTTCGAACAGGAAATTTATAGATTCCCATCTTCGAGTATCTCCGTAGCTTTGAATCCGAAATCACTTTCTTCTCTCTCTCTCTCTCTCTTTCTCTCTCTCTCTTTCTCTTCTTTTCTTACATCGCGTTTACGAAATATTTGTAATTTGGCGAATATAAATGTTGATAAAGCGTCTGGAAAATTATAGGATGGAAGGGAGAAGGTTTGGTAAGATAAAAGGCGAGGGAACTCGTTGGTACGGAAACTCGGGTTTAGATAAGGGGATATCAGCGGGAGGCATTGAACCAGCGAGGATCCAACAGCGAAAAAAAAGAAGAAATATTAAAGAATACAAAAGATCGTTTTCCCTCGGTCTAGTTCTAGTTCTAGTTCTAGTTCTATTCTCTCGTATCTAAGGCGTCGTCGTCGCCTTAACATTCCGCAGACGACGACGTTTCGTGCCGAGCTAACGAAATACGAACTCTGCCGCTTTCTAAACAGGAATCCTTCTGTTCCTCCCTCGGTGAACGTGTGCGCAAATCGACACGCATCCTCCTTCGCCTCGATATAAAGGGATGAACGAGTTTCGCTTATTCTCGAGGAATTTCATTTAAAAGTTTCCCCCGCTACCACCTCTTCCCCCCTCTCTTTTTTTTGCCTCTTTTCTTCCGTGTACGCCGTGCGATCCTTCGTCTCTTTGTTCTTTTCTTTTTGTTTTCCTTATCTTTGTTTTCTTTTGATCACCAAAACGTTAATTTATTATTGTTATTTATAAAAATTTCAACGATTCAGAGTTCGAGAGGTATCGATTATCACCTGTTTTTTGGCGTATCGAGCAAACCGTCCAATTAACCGCGCTTCGACATTTATTTAATTCGTTAGCTCGTCTGGAAAGTTGGTTATCGTTTCCAAAGTACGTTGCGACGCGACGTACACTTTTTTTTTCAACGCGAACGAGATATAATCGTCACTTTTCATTCGAGCCAATTCCAAGACGACGTTCGATCGATCCATCTTCTCCCCCCCTCTTTCCGAAACAAACTAATTTGAACGGTATCCGACGACACGACGGACGATCGGACTTTGAACGTGGAATTTTCGATCGGTACGAACCGCTGTGGAATTTTACAGCCTCGACGAATATCGTGTCGCGCGAAATTCCACTGGCAATGGCCGATCGACCGATTCATAAAATTTGCATTACATTTTTGTTAACAAATTTCGCACAAATTACCGACGAATTCCATCAAGATTTTTTCTCTCCCCATTTTCCAACTATGTATTTATTTGCTCCTGTAGTTTATAAATCGTTGATCAATTTTATCGCCTGCTCATCAACTCTGTCGGTATTCGTATAATAATGATCGAAAGCTAAAAACTGAAAGAAAGAGAAAGAATAATAATCTATCGAGTTGAAGGAGGAGATATTTTTAAAAATATCCAACGTGTAAATAACTCGTAAAACAATCGTTATGAATTGTCACATTTTGCCCAAAGGACGATCGAGCGGTCCACCTTTATCTTCATAATGCGCTCCTCACAAGATACTTTTAAAAAAATATCCAATGTATAAATAACTCGTAGAACAATGGAATACTTCGGCAAAATATTAAGGACGAATCGTTACGAATTGTCACATTTTGCGTCCAAAGGACGATCGAGCGATCCATCCTCAAAACGCTCTTTTCAAATTGGCCTTCCTGAAAAATTTTTCTCCTCCGCGGTGACGTTTTCGTTAACAAACTTCACAAATTACCGACGAATTCCATCAAGATTTTTTCTCTCCCTTCCCATTTTCCAACTATTTATTTGCTCCTGTAGTTTATAAATCGTTGATCAACTTTTCATTCTCGTTTTATCGCCCGCTCATCAACTCCGTCGGTATAATAATGCTCGAAAGCTAAAAACTGAAAGAGAGAGAAAGAATAATAATATATCGAGTTGAAGGAGTAGATATTTTTAAAAATATCCAAATATAAATAAGAACAATCGTAGAACAATCGTTATAAATTGTCACATTTTGCCCAAAGGACGACATATATCCATCCTCAAAACGCTCTTTTCAAATTGGCCCTCCTGAAAAATTTCTCGCCTCCGCGGTGGCGTTAATTCACCGAGCTCGCGCGCTCGCTTCGATCGTCGTATCATACGGATAACGGCGCGTTAATTGTAACCTCGAACGAACTATTGTGCGTGCGCGAAGCCGATAACCGTGCTTGATTGCGCGATTAAAAATTAAAACTTGGCGCTCCGTTCCGCGCCCGCTTCCATACACACTTTCATCAAGCTGCTTTATCTCCCTTTACACCGGACTGCGTCGCAAAAATACGTATTCTCTAAATTCAGGTCATTTGTGAATGGTCTATTCGCGAACGATTCGAGAACGAACGTCACGCGTCAAACTCGTCCACCGTCGCTGCACGGTTCATAAAAAGAACATCGAGCATCGTTCCTCCAAACGGAATCGGTTCGTTTTTTTAAACGCGTTATTGTTTATAAACGCGCCGTGTAAAACGATAATGATCACGAGGGCGGAAACTCGTCGTCTTTTTCTCGTTTTGCCGCGAGTGCCGCGGGTTCAGAGGTGGAAAAAAATCGAGGCCCGATCCCGTTTAATGGACCGTCTTCCGTAACACGGCGACGGAACCTTTTTCCCTTTTATTTTCGACGAGCGCGGCGTTCAACGCGAATTTTCAATTATATAAAACAGACGGGGGGATGAGAAGAGACGGCGAAGAAAGGACGAAGCGTACGTTCCTTTTAAGCGTCGTAAATAAAATGGCGGAGTAAATCGCGAATAAAAATATTCGTCGCGATAATAACAAATTCCGGGATATCCGTTTTATTCTCTTTCGTTGGCGAGAAATAGTCGAATCGTGGCCGGATTCTCGAAATATTTCTGAACCGAGCAAAATACAATACTCGAATCGATGGAATTTTTCCGTCTTATCCGGCGTTATATTACGGGGTGTAAAGCTCGTAATTACGTATGCTCGCGCGATGTCGAAAAGAAGAAGAAAAAGAAGAGGAGGAGGAGGAGGAGGAGGAAAGAAGCAGCCAGTTTCTTCGTTGGATAAAAAGAGAATCGCGCGAATATTGAGCGACAGTTTGAAAAATAAAGGCATTATGCGAACGTTCCGCTCGGGATGATAATTTTTCAAAGGGTTTCTCGCGTGCCGCTTTCCCTTTTCGGCTCGTCGCCGTTCGTTTTGCGGAAGAGGCTAAGGGGGGAAAAAAGTCGAGCGATGGCGACGACAGGTGAAACACTCACACCTGCCCACTCCATCCATCCACGCAAACTCTCGAACTCTTTCCTTCCCTCTTACCTTTTTTCTTCCTTTCTTCCTTTTCTTCCCCCCTCTTACTCTCACTCCCGGCCACTTTCTCCCTTTGTTCGTTCCCTGGCTGCCGACCAGATTTTTCTACCCCGATGAACCATAACGGTGGTCAAGATAAGCCTCTCCTTCGATCGTTTCAACAGGCTGCAACGATTCTTCTTCTTCTTCTTCTTCTTCTTCTTCTTCTTCTTCTCCAACGATTTTTATTAACGTCGCTCGACGACTCCAATCGTACCCGAGATAATTAATCGAAAAGCGCCAGCAGCGTCGTATCCACAATCGATCCGATTATTCGGATTATAATCGCAGAAACAATTTGCAACGAGAAATTTCTCTGTTCGCAGATCCGTTCGAGATGAAACGATTATCCCGGCTCTTTCTTCAAATCTTGTTCCTGGCCTCGATCGCAGCCTCGAGTTTATCAGCGTCGGCGAGGCCTCGGGGGAAGAAGAAGGTCGCCAAGGAGGTGAAAGACGCCAACATATGCGAGATAAAGGGGATGCAGGCCCCCATGTATTGCTATTGCAACAACAACGAGTTGAGGAACGCCACGGATGCCACTTGCGTCATATTAAACCCGTTCACGAGCAACGATCCGACGTGGAACAACTTCGACTCGCAAATCTACCTGCAAAAGCTCAAGTTCGTAGTTCGTACGCCCAACGGATTGGATTACGTACCCGTCCAGTTGTTCACCCTGCTCAACAACTTGCAAATCATCACGATTCAGGACGCGAGCATCAACGAACTCGCGGAATACGCGTTTTCAAACCTGCCTGTGATCACCGATATCAATTTGAGCAGGAACTCCATTTCGACCCTCAGGATGCACGCGTTCGAGAATATGAAAAATCTAACGATCGTTTATCTGAACGAGAACAGGATCACCGAGATAAATAGGTAGGAACACGCTTACTTTTTCCAATTTAAAAAGAAAAAATTGATCTTACCTGCCCTCTTATTATTCCCCTTATTTTCCCTTTAACTCGCAATACGTCGTGCATCTCGTTATTCGCGTTACTCGCGATATTCACGCGCGGATCGATATTTCCAACGCTGCGAATTTCGTTTCCTTATTCCGCGTTTAATTCAAATTCCTATTTTTATTTAACTGAAGAAAAGGTAGGATCAAAACTCGAAAACTCGTTTCTTCGAATCTTTGGTAATTCTGTGCCCGAAGCGAAACGAAAACTCGATCTGGACGCGTAAATTGCCGTTCAATCACCGAGTTTCTCCAGCCAAATCGAATTCGCCTCTCGCGCCAATTTGCTGCGTTTCGAAATCCGAATTATTCGCTATTCGTTAGCCCCGTTAATAATTCGAATTACCAGATTAATCATTCGGGGGGGGCAACATTCCTCCTCGAAACTCGTATCGTTGCGCTCGTGTACCGATATTCTCGCTCGAAATATTCGCTGCCTTCACTCGTTTTTCGTTTCCCACCATTCTTTCCGTCTTTGATGCGCGTATAATATATTTCTATGTCAACGTTATATATAATAATATGATAACAAATTAATCGCGGAAAATGATTCGCGCGATAAATTATATTTTCGCGACAAAACGTGCAGTTTATAGAGTGCAACTGGCAATTAAGAGTTAATCGATAAACTGGTTAACACGATTCCGCTCGTGTGTATCGGCCGTATTATCGCGACCAGCGCAAACTTATCGTCCTTGTTAATAAACAATTAAACGAAACGATACAAAGTTTACCTTACCGATGCTCAAATTGACGAAACGTAAATACAAGCGATGTGCCAAGCGAAAACGTACCCATACGATTTGCTTAAGGATGGATTCGTTACGAGAGAACGCTTTAAATCGAATCCAAATTTTCCTTCCGATATTTTTATAATAAACGATTGGTTATACATACAACGTAATTTCAAACGATCTCGAGTAAAGCGCAGAGCTCATTTTACGAGCGATCCATTTCATTATCGATAAAATTTCGATTGAAAAAATTATCGATCTCGACAAGAGCTACGGAGAACACGGCTCGATCGAATGAAATTACGTCGTTGAACGGTTTCGTTTAACGATTATCGAAAAATTATTTCCACTCCCAAGATTTCCGTTGGAACGCCGATTATGCACGGTGATTACGATTCCGTGTATCTGGCGTGGGTGCATGCAACGCTTTATCGAAAGTCGCGGCTTCTTATCTTCTATCGCGCCGAAGGGCGCGTCGTATCGCGTCTCCTGTATTCGTAAAAATGTATTCATAAACTCTTCGTTTCTCTCCATTTTCGCTTAAATGCGCTCGCCGACAGAGAACGTCCATTATCCATCGTTTCCCCCTCGCCTCCGAGATTAAACGTCGTTACGATCGAAAGCGTGAATTTTCATCCTCGATACGTTTAACCTTCCGCTCGCTCGATTTCCAGGGACGTATTCGTCAATCTGCCTTCCATGAAGAATCTCTATCTGAACGAGAACAACATCAACACGTTACACGACAAGGCGTTCAAGCATCTCACCTCTCTCAAGGAACTGGACCTGTCCAGCAATCAGATAAAGGTGATCACCGCGGACAGTTTTCACGGGTTAACGAGTTTGGTCAGTTTGAATCTGCGGGGCAATTTAATAGCCATGATCGGTGATCGAACGTTCGTCGAGATGCCCTCGTTGACGGAATTGGAGCTGGATCAGAACGAGATCAAATACATCACGGAGAAAGCGTTGGACGGAATGAGGAACCTGAAGCAACTCACGCTCAGCGAGAACGAGTTGGTAACTCTCGAGCCGGATTTCCTGGCCGGGGCACCAGCCGTGTACGTGCTCAATTTGAGGGACAATAAACTCAAGACCATGACCTTCGACAATATCAAGCCCATCGTCACCAACTTGTACAACACCACCAGTCATTTCTATCTCAGCGGTGAGTCCTGTTTCCTCTTCTTTCTTACGACGTATTCTCCAAGCACGATCCTTTCGCGAATAAAATTCAAATCGATCGTTCGTAAGTTGCCACCACAATCGAACTTTTATTTAATGCCGTCGTTTAAAAAAAAGAAAATTTGTTAACGAGCGTCGGTATCTAAAGAGAATAATATCTAAAATCTGCTCGGCCAACTTCGAACGCTAGTCCCTAGCTAGATCGAAAGATCGAGATATCGCGGAAAATCGTCCATTTTCCGATGCGTGCGGATGCAATTTTACGGCTGCTGTCGATCTTATCTTCCCCTTTCTAATAACGATTATCCGCTATTTTGTCACTTGTCGTGTTATCTCCGTGAGAATCGTGTCTTTCTTCCTTATTTTAATCTTTATTTCAAATAAGATTTCAAAAAAGATTTATACGAATAATCGGATAAAATATATTGACGAAGAGATTCGTCTTCAAAGTAACCGATTCGTCTCTCCTTTTTTAAAAATAATTTTAAATACGTATATATAATACGTATGTATCCCATATTTTATTAATCGTTCGCATTAATAGAAGACAAGTTGTTTACAGGAAACTTTCAACGAATTTCACTTCGCTATCGTGAATTTAGTTTAGTACTCGAGTTTCACTTAGGCAAATTTGTGTTATTTGCAAGAGAGAAAATACGCGCCGAGAATAAATTATATACGATTAATATTAATACGCGCGTATATATATATTTACCTTGACTAAACCTTTACTCGGATGTTAGACGAGAGAGAGAGAGAGAAAGAGAGAAAAAAGGGATTATTTTCCATAGGAGCCAGTTGTGTCTAGTTTGAAATGTAAATAATCTCCGACCCAATATTTCCACGCGGTTTCCAATAGAGCAGAGGTTGGTCTGTCTTCCGCATCGTGTTCCATCCATCCCGGAATTACCATAAAGTGGCAAAAAGATCGCTTCTAGCCATTACCTCTTCTCTTTTCAGAAGTAGGATGCTGCTGTAATTCTATAAATCGTTCGTCCCTGCTTACGTCTACGAAAGATACGTTTTAAGTCTAAAAAGATTAATTATTTTCTTAGTAAAAAAAAAATTCGAAATGAATATGTATTTATATGTAGAAAACATCGATACGACACGTTAAATATGCATAAAAAAAAAAAGTTTTCGAAAAATCTACAAAATAAGCATTTTCAGAAGATATATCAGAAGGTATACCATCTTTTTTCGTATTCTCGAAACCCACGTATATTTCAACTATAATCGGATCGAGAGAATTTCAAGCATTTGAAATTTTGGTGCAACGGGACTGCAAATGCGACTTCGTGTCAAAACGAGTCGGTTCAAATTGAACTAGACAGATCGAAAAGTTGACCAACTTTGCGGCAAAGATTCCTGTCCCGGAGAAATTCTTTGAAATCTAACATTTTTTTTTTTTTTTTTTTTTTAATAAGAGAAGTGACGTTACTTTCGTCGATTCGATGCTTTTCGAAAAAAAATTCGGTCATCGCGATAGAAATGTTTTTTCGATGAGAGCTGACGATATGATCGCGTATCATGTATTATCGAACGGAATATCTTGGAAATAATCGTAATACTTTTATATCGATATTTAAATTGGAATCTTAATTAAGCATGATCGTTTCGATGAAACGATATAATTGAAATATATTCGATTACCTAAATGAAACTGACTAATTTTCCGCCGATGTACTGATTATTCATTAATATAATTACCTAATTAGAATTCAATTCAATCTTGTTACGTACAGGTAAAGCGTTCTTCCTTTATAATCCAATCTTTTATATTATTATTTATTTTTACCTTTTCTAATTATCTTTCGATTTATCAAATCGATATTGTTAAAATTAATATCTTCTTTACCCGACAAGTATTGAAAACTATGATAATTCAAATCGAATTAACGAATTTTTCAAGTGATTCAAATTATGATCTAATTATGGAAATATCGTATGGAAATTTATGCGTGTTTATATTCCAGTTGCAAATTTTAATAATTGCTTCTCTCTTTTTCTCTTTCTCTATTTGAGTATATCAAATCAAATTGCGGTTTATTTAAAAATATCGTATTTCTTTAAAATTAAATTTGCGTAATGGATAAATTCAAATAGAAGATTTTCTTTATACGTGTTTGTGCTTATTTATATCGATTTGGAATTGATTTCTTTTTCGTGTATAATTTCTTTTTATCGGTATAAATAATACACGTATCTATTATTTTTCTCCATTTCGTTTATTTTTAACGATTTAATTTTAAGTTAATCAATTCGCTTGAGAGAAGAATACAATCTAAAAATAAAATAAATCTTAAACGATGGTCGAGTCGAATTTAAATCGCGCTAAATTGTAGTCGATGTAATATGAAATGATTCGTATTATGTATATTTTATTTCCTTTTTTCTTCTTTTGTAACGAAATTAAAATTTGTATCGAAATAATTTATAATCAAATATTCCTTTATGGAATGTCAATTTTAATTTGATTACAATGCAATATATTTGAACTATTAAATTAAATTCTCGCCATTTTGTCCAGAAAGTAGACAGTGATGGATCAATTCTCGTTAAAGACAAAATTCGATCTGTTACAGAGAGAGCAACCAAGTTTTCAATTAAATTTATATATTAAATTTTGACGTGACATCAACTTAATACCGTATAATAATATACGTACAAATTATAGATAAAATAAATTACAATAAAAATAAAACAACATCGAATCCATTCAACTTCAAAGCCATTAATAATTATCCTGGCCAATAACAATGTACGTAATAGCCGATTAATACGCGTATTAATACAACAATTAATCAAATCAACCATAACCTAAATTCTAAGTCCGATTAATAGCAACCGATCGATTAATTTGAAAATAATAATCCATCGAATGCAATTACTCATTGCTATGCGATTGAATTTCATTATATTTCGAATATTTCCATTAGAATTATCTATAATCGATGTAATTCCTTTTTCCTTTTCTTCTCGCGTTCCTTCATCTTTCGTTCGTCAAACGTACGACATTATATCGTATTATACGTCGAATGTACGCTATATCGAAGAAAGATTGTAACGCAATCGATATTCCACGCGATTTTTTATCATTTTTATTATTTGCCTCTTTTCCTTCAATGCTTCACTTGGATAGACCTCTCTTGGATAAAAGACATTTACATTTTAAACGATTGTTACTTCATCATCTTCTTCTTTTGTTTATACGAAAACATAGTCGAATTTTCCAACAAACAAGTTTTTAACGATCAATCAAAGATGTAATATCAAGATAAGATTCTTTTAACGATCCTCTCCCATTTTCTCTCGATACTTTGTTAGAATTCGCCAAGTTTATTCTTCCTCTTTTTCCTCTCGTTAGCTTTATCAAAGAGCTTCATTTTAAGATCATTAAGGAAATTAAAGAAAATAATATCTCCTTCTATTTTCTAAAAATTCAGGCGCATCCGGTTGAAATCCATCAAAGTTATTTAACGAAGAAAAATAGCAGCTCGACATCGAAAAATCCGATGGAAAATTTTCTACTGGAGGAAGAGAGGGGATTGGTACGATAAATGATTTCAAGTTTTTCAACGATAATTTCTTACGAGACGTGTTACGCGTCTCGAATATATTATTTTCATCGTGGATTATTTATTTTCATCCCTCCTCGAATGGATTGGTATTTCGCAACGTAGGTACGAAATTTCGCAAGCATAAATTGCACGAATTCTCATTGTCACGGCAAGATATCGCGAACGCTATTCTCCCGGTTATCGGGGAGCAGGCGAAGCAACCGATTATAGGAAATACGTACTTGGATATGTACGCCACAGGTGGCACACAGATGCTCCAATATTTAACTCCGATATTGTTCCTTAAAGTCACGCGATATTACGTTAGCTATGAGCTATTTACCCGTGTATCGTGTATTCAACACCAATTATGAAATTAATCCTTAAATTATGAAATTACCACCGAAACGATAATAATTGTCTTCTATAAATTTCCGATTGTTCGCGTTACAAGAAACGAGAAATTTAAAATTAAAATCTAGTTCCTCTCGTAACATCGAAGCGTATCGAACGAATACAAAATAATTGATTTTTCTTTCGGGAATAATACTTTCATCCGATAAATAACTTTCTTCGTTGTTCCTCGTGTTTTTGAACCTAAGAGAGAGAGAGAGAGAGAGAAAAAAAGAGAAACCTATTAACAAACTTTTTCAATTCTCCTATAATCCATCGAGACTTTATATCGTAACCGAAGAAATAACAAGTTCTATCCGCTCTCTTGTTTGCCTCGATATTATCGCGATACGAAAAAAGGGGGATAAGAATTGTTCACTTTTAAACGAATAGCCACGATATAGCGTTTCCTCTCGAAACCGTTGGAAAAAATTTAACGGAATTTTCCCCACTCTTCATATCGATTCCTAATAGATCCTTCCGTGTTCCAGGCCCATAAATCCTCCGTCTCCTCTTCAAACAACCGTCGCCTAATAGAAAAGCGACTTGGCGGCATAAAACGCGCTTCTAAAAGTAGCGAGTAGGTGTACGAGTAGGGGGATGATGCATCATCGATAGGCCAGGCTAGCTGCCCGAGAGTAATTGCTCGAAATTTATTACCTTATCGCGGCCAGCCTGCGATACGTATCGAAATAGCATCTCGACCAGGTGGCGCGGCTCGCTATTGCCCGATTAATAAAACGTGCATATACAGCCGCGCCTCCTTCTCTCCTCCTCCGCGCTCCACGTTTCGCGCGATAAACCTCCCCCCTCCTCTTCTTTCGATAAAACGATATATCGAAATTATCTTAATTTAAAAGAATGATCCGTAGAGAAATTAATCTCGCGACGAGACACCCATCTCTTCTCCCCCCTCCTCCTCCCTACGCAGAACGTGTCCTAGTTTGAATAATTTTTCTCAAAGTTTCTCAAAGTGTTACTCGCAATTCCAATTCCATTTCGATTTCGTAAGTGAAATTTTAACGCAGTG